CTGCACTTTTAGCTGCTCTAATGACGCCCATTGGTGACTCCCCCTTGTGACCATCAGGATTAATGTCACCCACTTTGACTGTTATAATGGATGACGAGATGCCATCTAGGTTCAGACTGTTTCCTGTTTCAGTTTTATTGACAGCAGTGAGTGAAAAGATCCTCAGCACATAGGACTGGGCAACATTCAAAATTTTTCAATACCAGTACCAGAAGGATACCTTGATTTTGATATTGGTTCCTGAACAATACTTTTTATGGATACCAATGCATTTTAAAATCAATGTCAACATCAACAAGAATACATTAAGCATTACAGCACAAATCTTTTATTTGAACAAGTCATTTTGTTAGTTATTGGTTAGTTACCGGGGGGATCGATCCCAATCATAACGGGAATCAGCCTTTTGTTAATATTTTATCCGGGCTATCAAGTTTCATCAGATCTTTCAAGTGAGATAATACAGTTTTATTATGGAAGCTCATCAGGGCCAAAACATCGTAAACTTTTTGCCTAGAGGTGGCATTATTGCAATATGCCATGATGTCAACAAAGCGATCTTTCAAAATAATAACACCATTAACTTCTATGTGAGTGAAGTTTCTGCAGGTCATTTTGTGTTCTACACAGCCACCAGAGTTCAAAACTACCCGCACATATGGCCTGTTTTACATTTGTCCAAATGTGTACATCACATTTGCGCATAAGACACATGATAGATACGTGCCCAAATACAAAGCCATTATCATCCAACATAACCAAAATGTGGAGCCCTCATCACCATAACATAGGCGTACATACAGCCCAACAGAGCTGCTGTGTCAGAATGGGGTGAGTTTGTGACACCAACCAATAGTATGGAAGCTTTAATGGTCCAAATGGTTTAAGATATCGAAATGTGATGTGTTTATTCAGAGGGTTTTGACCCTGATGGCATTCCATATCTCTTACTTCTCAGCATGACAAACACAAGGTGTCGCATGTGAGTGTGTGAACTGGGATATGCAGGTGTCTCACGGTCAATGTGTGAAACTTGAGAGCCCTGATTTACTTATGTGTCCTGAAACGTGTTTATAATTCATAAATAAATCTGGGCAGAAGATTGATCTTTCATTATCTACAGAACAAGAAACAATGTACAGTTATCCCGCTGATAAGGGCTGGCATGTTTCACTGCCAGCACTGGCTGAAGACGCAGGCAAAAGAAATTCAATCAAAATAACTTCATCTACTCTGTATTTTTTTCTGCACTTCCGCTTAACTTCCATGTTAGCGCCGGTGCTTGTGGTCAAGCAATCAGCAAGCTTATCATTGCAAGCACTTCCTCAGTAGTGCCTCTTAGAAACTGAATCAGACTGAGTCAGAATTAAAGGAGTTCCGATGATTTCCCACACACGTTCACGCATACACTTACACACCCATTCTCACTCTCTCTGGGTGTTTCACATGATATATGACAATGTGGTCTGCCACTATATGGGGGTATATTCAGGCATAAATGAGGAGCAGATTTGCAAGTTGCACTGGTGCACCTAATTATAAAATTTAGTCGCACTGTTTCCAAAAATGGTCACAAACTGTGTCTAAATGGTCGCAGCCTTGAAACCCTGTGGAGCCACACTTTTGATTTCTTAGGCACACTACAAACTACGCAACAAATAAATACAACAACACACACGCGAACTGGTTCACAAGTTTGTCTCTGGGCATAGGTTTTTCCTCTGGCCTATATGACGTGTTCGTGAAACATTACGTTAGACAACCAATCACAAGCGACTTCAAATCTTTACACAAGTATGCTGCATGCTTATTAGCTCAGAGGTGTTGAGATTTACTGTTTGGGTATTGGAATTTGGCATCGAAAGAAAATTTTTGGATCGATAGGATTGGAGCAGTTTGGTCGGTTATGAAGTTCAGTGCCCAGCCCTATCAGCATCTGTGTTAGCGTGCGGTCGGGTGACAGCAAATTTGGTGCTTGCTGATGATCTGGGGAAGCTGCTCATTCCAGTGACCTATAAAAACTGGGCGGGGCATAAGTACAACTTGCCACACCACGGTAAACAGCTTACCACAGCATGGTAAGCATCTTACCACAGCATGGTAAGCATCTTACCACTTCTAACACAGACAGGGGACTAAACACAATGCTGTATTCTACCATAATGAGAAAAGCATTGCAGCACATCAGAAATAGGCACTGGGTGTCTGTCAGATTACTGCACAGATCTGCCAGTGAGGACAGCTTCCTTAATTATAATGGGAATGTGCTCAGTTTGTCACTGTCACTCAGCCACACGCATGTGGTCAGGAAATGGCTGAAGCTCAGAATGTTAATTAAAAGGAGGCTCTGCAGCCGAGCAGAGTGCAGAATACATAGGCAATTAACAGGATTCTTTGTGTTTTATCATCTATGACATGCCTGTGGAAAGAGCCCATTCATAGCATTAGCTAGCTAGCTTTGCCATAACCAACAGGACTGGAACTATTCCTTTGCTAAACTTAGCTGCTGTATTTTGTTAGCTGATGTTACTCTGTTAGAGCTTTGCTTGTTGCACCACGTCCCTCTTCATCTCCAAACTGTATCCTGCGTCTTTGGAGTAATGACAGGTTCCAGAGGTCTGTGTTGAAGACACCCAGCAATAAAAACATGTGGGCAGCCTCTGTCACATGCTAGCACACACAGCATAACTGGAATTTCAGGGGGGTTAATGTTACAGATGGACAAAATTGTGAAATTAGGGGAGAAATTACAAGCTTAGCATGAGAGCGTGAGATTGGACCCGATTGCGGGAGTCTGACGGTCATTGTGGGAGAGCTGACAGCCCTGCACTGTGGTGCATCTCTGACGATGCCAAACACACGTCGGTGTTTTAGCATGTACTGCTCATTTATCATCTCATTTCTGTAATGATTATTTTCTCACTCTCACGGCTGCAGGTTTTAAAATACCTTTAAATCAGGGCTTACTTCACACCTAATCACATATAAAATCACCTAATCACATATAAAAGGTACAATTATAAACAGTGAAAGAACAACAGTTATTAAAATACATACGTCTGCGATAGAGCAGAAACTAGCATGATCCACATCTCTGCAGGACTGGAGTTTCCGACCCCTGAGTCAGAACCAAATAAAAGTGATGGAGAAAACTGCCTTTATTTTGGCTGCATGACATTTGTTCCTGCTTATGGTCGCTCTGTAGCTGTGTGGAAGTATGATTTG